GGAAAAAAAGCTATGCATTGGTACGAGGTGTTGGGGTGAGGAGAGGGGTGTGTGGAGGGTAAGGGGGGTGAGGGTGCTCCTCAGGAGTCAGTGGACACACACAACTCTAATCCTTTGCAGCTGGCCTCACAGACACTGACCAAGGGCATGTAAGAGTGTCAGGTTTCATTCACATGAAGGGATGACCAGCAACTCTATTCATGAGAAAGACAGTCTGAGGGGTGGGGGTGGAGGGGTAATGGGGAACGCTCAATAAAAGACTACGTTAAGTACAGAGAAATACGGTGGGCAATAGTATCAAAGGCCACCGGGCACACAGTTCAGACACAGCAGCAACAACAACAAAAGGCAATGAGACAGAGGAATAAGAGCTTTACTCCATATCGCAGTTTTTCTAACAAAGTGATGACGGTGGTCAAGAGGACTGGTCGTTCAGTCACACTTACTAGTTTACAGTCAGGTTGAAAAGGTGTTGTAGCACCGCACTGCAAATTGGTTTAATTTACAGAAATATAAGTTGTTATTTTTTTACTTAGCCTGATTAGTTGTAATTGATAAATGAGGTCTTCAGGGATCAACCCTTTTAATCCAACTTGCAACAATTGTTGCTATTTTTTTTGACTTCATGCAATTTGTTTTTACTTTGGACAAAAATTTATTTCAATAAAAGAACAGTTCTCCTACTTTGATTTGTAGTACAAATGTGATGGAACTTCTGTGTGCGGTGACATGACCTGACCATAGGAAGAGGAAATAGAGTTTTGGCAGTTTACTTGTTTTATAAAGGTTTTTTCCCCTACAAATCTTGTAGTAGGTAAAAATAGAGGAAATTAAGAATTAGTGACTACGTGACCATATTAGCTGTTAGTAAAATAACTAGGTGCAAAAGACACACGTGTCACATGGTTGGAAGGCCTGAGGAATAGAATGAGTATATCTTTTAGAGATAGAAGAGATAGAAGTAGAAAATTAAGAAGTTGGTTGATAAACTTTTTTTATATAAAATTGAACAACTGATGTGTCAACTTAAAATACCATTTTTGATTCTAATTCTTTTTTAAAATTTTCCCAGATTATATTTGAAATTATTCTGAAAAACAAAAATCTAACTCACTTTGCTCCATCTTTACTGTCAAAGGAATGCAGATCCAGAACTTCAGATAGATCCACCCTGTGGAAGAAGATTGCTTCTTATTTTCCTTTTTTTTTAAACTTGATTTCATAATTCAACCAAACTACATTTTCCCACTAAATTTTAGCATCTGCTGTAAATAGTCTAAAAATAACATGAAAGATAACCAAACAAAAAAACGCAGCGATGAACCCCTCGTTGCACGCTATCTTTCATCTGCATGCCCTTATCTAAACTCTCTGGAGGAGGTGGAGGCACAGCAGACCTGAAACACACCCCAACATTTGATACACATTGCTCTAATTAGTCAGAATAATTCACAACATGCTAAAACAAAAGGGGCACATATGTTGCCGAGCCACGATTTAAAGGCCTGGGGTTAAAGGCAGAGTCTAAGGAGTAACTGGACACCGCTTGGTGATCTGGTGTTGATGCTGAGATCAGAGGAAGAGCAGCTCTGAGACTTTTATTAACCAAACAAAGGAAACCTTCGGCCACTGAAAAAAGCAAACAAACACAAAACTTGATCTGACCTGGATTTAAACACTTAATCTAATCACAGTCAGATAGATCTAAGTTTAGCTGCACATGCTGCAAATGTGACTTCAATGCACTCACAATAAAAAAAAAACACAGGGTGTGATTTGAGGACACATTTGACCACGGTCCTGAGCATGTATGATAGGCAATCTATCTCCAGGATGGAGAACTTTTCAGCTAATGTCCCCTGACCCACAGGGGTTTCATTGAAATTTTATACTTGCTAGCTAGGAATTGTTCTTCTAGGTTACATTTATTGTCCTCATCATTGATTAACACAGGATTTTACAATGGTTAAAATTGAATTTCCTGTAGCAGCACAAAAAATTTCTTTAAATTATCCCTTCCTCCTCAGTCCCACCACCCACTTGCAGTACATGCAAATACACACAATGCCATTATACACACAATTTCAAATAGACTAGATTTTTATTTACTAATTACTAATCCAAAATTGTACCTTTTTAAATCTTTCTGCCTAGAGCAAAAGCCCAACAACATAGGTAATGGTTTTTAAAAAACAAAAAGGGGAAAAACTACTTACCTTGATCTCTGTGTTTCTAGAATCCTGACGAGACCATTTATTGATCTGAAGAAAAGTAAAAAAATTAAATACATGGCAAGGTGATGTAAAAATATCATAAACATGTGTATGAGGATAAATCAAAAAGTTCTAAGACTTGTATAATAATTTTTAACATTTTTAAATGTAGAGCTACATCATGTTTCATTTCCAAATTACCTCAAAAAAGAACACTTTTTATCCAAACCAAACTTAAACTTAAATGGAAACTTGTTAGTTTTTGTTTACTTTATAAGAATGCATTCTCTAATGGAAATCTATTAACAAAACATTATGATTTTTTTGTAAAATTTTATTATTTTGGTGTCTTAGGACTTTTTGACTCCCACTTACACGGATAATGTACAATTTTAAATGATTACGAAGCTGCTGTTGACCTGACAGTGTCTCTGACTTGGTTTAGTTGCTCCTCACTGACCAGGTCTGTCTTGTTGACAATGGTCAGGTCAGCCAGAGCCACCTGTCTGAGAAAATATATCAAACACAACTTACTTTCTTCATTATCATTATTCATTTTAAACCCGATGACGATGGTGAAAACAACTACATCCAGAAAGTTTCAAATATGAGAAGAATTCAAACTTGGGATGTTTGATCCCATTTGTATGACTGTGGGGAAGTGGATACAAATGGAAGCTCACTCAAACAGAAACCTAAAATGCAAAGGATCACGAAACTGCAGTCTCTTCAGCAGTGTATTTGTTTAACAACAACAACAGAATAACATAGCTGCTGACAAACAGATGCAAAATGACACAGACACATGGGAGGCAGGCTTGGTAGAGAATATATATAGAGAGAATATATTCCTTTAATTTTTTTAAATACATGTTTTGGCTTTTGAAATAATCATTATTATTAGTGCTAACTTGCATTAGCTTAAAATAGAATTTTCATAGCAAGTTCAACCACTTGACTATTATTAATCAAAGTTTTTTGTTTTTATAATTTAATTCAATTATTATTATTAATTCATTATTTCAGTTATTTATTCTTTTGACCTGCAATATCTCAGAATACCTTACATCTGCAAACTCAACAGTATAAATGTAAGAAATCACAAGCCAATATCTCTACTGCTTTTGCACTATGCTATACTTTACGTCTTTATACCGTGTACTGCATTCTACTGTTGGTAATGCCGTAAATTTCCCCACTGTGGGACAAATAGTGGACTTACAGCTATGTGGTGATTACTCAGATTAAAAGTTATAATAATTTGACATCACCTACTAAATACATGTGATACTCATCCAAAGGTTTACAATAATGGGTAAACAGACCTGACTGCTTCATTCGTCAGTCCCTCCACTTTTTCCTCTTTAAGTTGCTGCAATTGGAAAAGAGAGAACAACAAAATCACACAGATACACATTGAAATACAAATCTTCAATTCGTGGTGTATCCCCTGTGACCGTTTTCATTCAAAGTTGGTAAGACCAATAATAATATTCAAAAAGTACAGAATAGCTGACAGTAGCCATGACATGTTGGAGAAAATAAACAGCTTTATTTCAGCTTTGTAAATAAAAAAAAAAAAAAAAAAAAAAATTTCTTTACCCCTGCATTCCACTGGGAAACAGCACATTCATAAACAGTTAAATATCTTATTATAACCAGGGAGGGGTAATCTGGACCCTGACCTTTAGGTGTCCACCTGACATCAAGCTGTCACAGCCTGAACCACAGCATCTCAATGGCAAGAATGTATTCGATTAAAAAATAAATAATGCTTTGACTGTTTTTTTTTAACACCAGTCTTACCCTGGGAGACAAAGGCTTTAAGAAGTTTGAGAATCCCTCAACTGATAGACATTTCAGGTGAAGAATGAGGAGGGAGGAAAGGGAGTGATTGTGGCAGTCCAATTACAATGTTGACATCCTTCCTATCAATTACTCCTTCACTATGAATTATCCTCTCCCTCTTTCTGCCAGGATGGTTTGCAGAAGACGGAGCAGTTCCTTGGCTATGAAACGTGTCACCTCACGGGGGCCAAACACCCTCAGTGAAAACATTTCTGTCCCCAAGGAGAGGCAAGACAGTAAATGATTGAGAACCACTGCATTAATATAAGTTAGTGGTTCTAAATCGTTTAACACCATGTACCACCTAAAAAAAATATCTGTGTACTATCAGTATGACCGACACTAAAAACAGAACATACCTACCATGTACAGGTGAACACATTTAATAAGACTGAGAATTACTTCTAATTAGATGAGCAGCCTATTTCTATGTATTATATGTATTTATACCAAAATAAACCAAAACAACAGATTGAATGAGAATGAGAATATATATAAGCACAACACTACAAGGAGCTATGGTACCAGCGATGGTACATGTACCACAGTTTGAGAACCATCAATTCAAGCAAATATGTAAGCACAAACGATGACGCAAGACTTTACAAAGAGACGTTCATCACTTACCTGTAATCCATACTTGGCATCAATGACAGTCACAATTCCTGTGAGATGAAGAACAATTAAAAGACAAAAATAAAAAAATAGGAAAGCTTGTGTCTACATTTTGTACACCAGTTCTAGCCTGTTAGCATATTAGCAAACTATGTCTCGTTGTTTATATGTGAATGTAGATACATTAAATGCAGCTAATATACATTTAAAGCATGTTTATTAAATTATAAATTATGACCCTGACTAATTCAGTGACTTAACAACAGGAATTAATACTGCATTATGGAGAAACATATGAATGTATTAAAAAGGTTACAATTAAACATATTCAGATTATAGAGGCAAAATATTTTTTTCTGCACATGCAAAGATGAAGTGCAGATTTCCTTTAATTTGTTGTTATGTAGTGAACTGCTAACGCTTCCAGACACAAGGGAAGCATTGTGGGTTGCATGTTGCTAGGCTATAGCTTGTGTTGCATTCCTGGTCTGTCATCTGTCGGAATTTTAGATCACCACCAACTGGGATTCTCCCTGTTTCTTAAGTGACCACAGGCCGTGGTACTGAGGCTGTGTCTTCTATAGGCTGGATTTCAAGTAACTTGAAATCAGAAAACTGCTTTCACATGTGACAATCTCTATCACATCGGGTCTTAAATCAGCCCATATCTACTATATTAAAAACATGAAGCAGATGAGAGAAGACATCTGAAAGTTATTGTTTATAAAAGCAGAAAAACAGACGACATGAAGTAAGAAATTGCGTCTCACCATCCAAATAAATATCACTGCCAAGCTCTGCATCAACCCAGAACATGGAGGCCACGGCTCCTGTCAGAGGACAGAAACTGTTACATAGAGCTAACGTAATTTATTCACAATCAGACAAAGGAATATTAAAGAATTTAAAAACACCTTTGAGAAGTTCTTGCTTTAAATGTCAATAAAATCTTGGAATTGGAAAACATGCATGTTATAACAATAATTGCCATTAGTCTGTGGTTGCTGTTATGTATTTATTCCATATCTGACATCAAAGTCTTGGAAAATCTCAAAATCTCTTTTTTTTCTATCTTTCTTGAACATGGTTATTATAAAACCCTATGTTTCAGTGCCACAGCTTGCTCATATAATTCCATTCTGTAAAAATCTTAGGCCAGAGAAAGAACACATTGTAAATATTTGATGGCCACCTAATGAAAACACATTTTGAGTGGCATGTTTCACATAACCCACTCAACCTCTGCCTGAATAGAAGAGAATTCCCCAGGACACTTGTGTGATTGACAGTACTGCCGGAACCAATGACAGGCCTGTCCTGGTTGATAACAGGTCTGTCTCATGCCAATGACATGTCAGAGATGTGAGGGCAGCCCTGGCTCTGAGCATGCTCTGTTGGTTCTGTCTTGGAGAACATGTCATGTGTGTCTGCCCACAGTGCCGCGCTCTGACAACTGTCACTTAGCGACACACCCCAATCGCCACAACCTTCACATTCTAATAGTCTGATATTGATTTTCTGATTTAAAGCTGAAAGGTCAATAGGCCATTCTTTTTTTGGCTTCTTTGGAAATAAGGTCCTTGGATGCTCCTAAACATCAAACTTAAAGTGTTTCAAACAGTTTAACTTCAAATGAGGGAGTAACAGAGAAGAGTTTTTATATTATATTATACTATATTATTATTATCATCTGACTATGTCTGTAACCTTAACTGCTTTGACTAGCTACCATCTGATGGCTGACGAGATATTTAGGTAATACCATAATAGGTCAACCCAATGAACCAGGCTGTAAATGTCTCTACTTACGTAACACTTTTTTGTTCAGATGACTTTAATGACTGAATGGAGTTTCTACACCACAGGTTTTACCACCTACCTACTGACAGCGATGCTGCCAGAAAGCAGCATATACCAAGTTAGTAACTAAACACAACCCTGGAGGTCAGGGATCCCCACATATATTCATCAGAGGGCCAGATTTTTTCTGGGCAGACACTTTCGGTTCTAGACACTTATATATACACAATATAACATACAATAAAACACAAATGTTTGTCCAATAGAAAGTAAACATGTAAACAGACTCATAATGTGTGTGTATTATTGCTAGTTATTTAAGTCACAGTTGTTGTTTTTTAGCTTTAATAGTGTTGACCACATGATATTTTCTCTTTGGAATCTAGTTGTGGGCTGTTGTCTAAGTATACAGCCTTGCTATTTTAAATGTTAAACACTAACTTGTTAGTACCTGCTATTCACGCAACTGTTTTTTTTTTACTTTACTTACTAAATTACAAATATGTACCTGGATCAGCCAGTCCTGTGGTTTCCAGTAAGATGTAGTCAAACTTTCCTTTCTTCTCCATTAGGTTCTCGATGGCTTTCAAACCATTGTCCCTCAAAATTGAAAAAAAAAAAAAATATATATATATATATATATAAAATAGCACAAAATAGATATTATGTATAGAAAAACAGACAACATGAAACTATAATTAAAACTGTAAATGTATGCATGTTCAGATGTGCTGTAGTATTTTCAAGTCCTTGGTAACCATCCATCCAAACCAACCAGTGTGAATTCAATTCACATTTAACAATGTAGATCAGTTAAACTTCCTACTTGACTGAACAGCAGAGGCAGCCATTTCTAAGTTCCAGCCACTCTTCATATAGCTCTCCTGCCTGGCTCACAGCAAGAGATTTCTCCAGGGCACTGCCTGCAGCAAAAAAGACCAATTTAAAGGTACATCTGATTAACAAGAAGTATTTATGTGCACAAATGATCACATCTCTGTCAAGAACAACTCGTCCTACATTTGAAAACTCAGTAAAATCCCAAGTGTTTTAACAAATTAGCAAAATGAGCTGTGTGGGGAAATGTGGCTCAGATTTCGGGTTGTGCGTTGCTTTCCTCTTGTGGATATTACTAAAAGTACATTTGCAGCAATTTTGTTTCATTGGTATCTTTTTATCTGTTGTATAGTCATGTACTGTACCTTCTCCAAATTCATTAAGAATGACTGCAATCCGTTTGTTATGTTGTTCTGTAAGTATAAAGTTCAGAAGTGTCGTCTTCCCAGCACCTAGAAAGAAACAGCATAAACACAGAGTTTTGTTCATTTTATTATTACTGTAGAAGTTGCACTAAATGTTTCTATACTTTGTTCGTATGAAAATGTTTACATTTTAGGCGAGCCCTATATAAATTGGCAGTTTATAATTTAAGTCAGGCATAATTTTATAATACATATATTTAACAATAATCTTTGATATATAACAAAAAATGGCTTTATAAAGTCATTTATTGTTTTTAAAAGACTTAAACAGATGCAGTCGTAGTCATTTACATTCCACTGTATTTGAGACTAGTCTCAAGAGGTGCCTGCAACCTTTAGTCACGACAACCATTGATAGGAGGTAATATTGCTGTTCTTTTCTCTAGTTTGGTTTTCTTTTCGCCGTCGTACATCTTTCAGATTTTGGTTGTCACTGTAGTCCTGCACAGTGGCCGGTATGATGGGTCATTGGACGCGGTTTGCAACACCTCTGTTAAACCGTCGTCTTTCACTGTTTCTTGGCCTGTATCAGTGTCCATCACTATCCACTTGGCTAGAAC